GAGCCTGACCACGGCCAGACAACCCCGTGGAAAGGCCAGATGTTTGACGCAGAGAGAGACCGTATTCCCATCACTTTTATTACTGCATATTGTTACAATTGTTTTACTTTATTACTATTCGTTGTTCGTAACCTCTTGCCTTATTTATAATTTAGACTGTGTCATGGTTTGCGTGTAGAGGAAAAACTGTGCACATATCGGGGGTCCGAGGGCGGGGCCTCTGCGCAGGAGGGGTGTTGGCACGCGCCCGCTCCGAGCTCACGGGGACGGTGGGTTGGTCGGTGGAGCCGGGGACAGCGAGGGGCCGCCCCACAGGCAGAGTGGCCCCCGTCGTGGGATCTGCTGCCTGTGGAGTTTCATTGATGGGGGGCGGGGCGTCCAGGGAGGGGGCGGGATAGTCAGGACTCGTGGGAGCGGGGCGCAGGTTTCTCAGGGAGCTCCGGCTGCCTTCCGCGTCCTCCTTCAGACTTTTGCTCCCTGAGCATTGCTGCGCGGGGCCAGGGGGGTGGCTGGTGTGTGTGTGTGTGTCGGTCAGCGTGCTGATGACCGCGGCGCACGTGTGATGAGGCGGGGGTTACGTCTTGGTGAAATTAGTCGCCGTGTTGGATTACGCAGATTTTAAGCCGTAAATCCGGTGGGTGTCGGTCTTCCTGTCTTCTTGGCAGTCTGTGGCTGTCACCGATGGCCGCTGTCCTGCCGCATGCCCTGTCTCAGTGCCACCTGCGGTTTCAGATCCACGGGGGTCTTGCTCTGTGTCCTCCCCGGGCGAGGGGGGCGGCTGTAGGGGCTGAACTGAAGATGTGATTATTTCAGAGAAAGATATAAAATGCGTTGCCTTCCAACCCAGAAGTGCTGAAGAAACTCATTTTCCACCCACGATGAGATAAAATAGTAACGTGATACACAGGATGCGTAAAATTTCCAATACCACTTTCAGCTTGTGGGACTTTCTGAAGGCGTTGAAGCGATACTGTGGTTTGAAAAACAGGCAGCCTGTTTGCAGAGAAGACCACAGGGTGCAGTTGCTATGGCGACGAGTCCTCTGAGCCTGCTCGGGAGGGCCTGGGGGCCTGGGGGCCTGGGAGGGTCAGGCTGGAACCGGCCTCCCCGGCCCTGCGTGGCCCCGCGGGGTGGCCTGGCGTGCGGGCGAGATCCCCATCGGGCCAGTGCTCTCTAGGTTTCTCTCGCTCTCCTTCTTTAACTTGGACTTGTTTTTGAAATTTCAACTACTTGATGAATAATATTCTGGTGTTATTATTTTTCCTTTAGGAAAAATGCTTATTAGTTTTATTACGACTTTTCCTTTTAGGAGAAACAGTCCTTCCAGCTGCCAGCACTTGCGTCTCTGCTACAACGTGCTCTGTCACTGCGCCTCGCTGCACGTTTAATTTGGTGGCTAATCTGTAATTGAATTTTTCACTACATCAAAAGTGTGTAAACTGTTCTTTTCCACACCTAGTCCCCAAATGGCTTTTCTCTCATAGTCCCTAATAGTTAATAAAACTATAAAGGAAACCGAGAAGCCTGTCAGCAGCAGATGGTTCCCACCCGCATGGCCTGCGGGCGCGCCCTCCCCAGATGTGCTGTGCATGTGCGTCCTCGACAAACGGACGTTTCACAGCCCGTAGAAGTGCGCCGCCCCCGCTCAGATGCTGGGAAGATCTAGGACGCTGCTCACGTGCCAGTGACCGTTTGCCAGGACGGCCAGCTGTCCAGGCTTATTTTTTCCTGCCGTTGAAGTTTGCACATTTTAGACGCTGAGGTGAGAATGGAAGCGCAGAGAACGAGGCCGTGGGAGTGGGCGCCGGCGGCAGGCGAGCCCGCGGCCCTCGCTTGGGCGGAGAGCAGTTTGTGGTTCACAGCGTCTCTGCCTGCCACCTCGGAGGAGGGTTTCGAAGGTGTCGGGGAGCTGGGGTCGCTGCACGTGCGTGTGTGCTGCATGCCTTGCAGGCGTTCCTTCGTGTCCCGCCTGCTCCCCTCAGCGCCGGAGGTGGTAGCGCCCGCGCCACCCAGCTCACAGGCGGGGACGCCACGGTCCTGAAGGCGCGGCCCGGGTGCCCGGCTGGGGTGCAGCAGCCGCCCTCTCCCCCGGGCCCCGCCTCCTCCCTGGGGGTCCGCCCACCCAGCTTTGGCTCTGCAGCCCCCCCAGGTCACCTGCTCATGGTCCCCGTTGGGAGAGAGAGGGAAGTGCAGCCCCTTCCCATGGGGGAGGGGCCCACAGGTCAGAGAGGCCGAGGGTCAAGTGCGGGGCTTCCTGGGACTCCTGCTGGTGGAGAGGCCCGGTGGGCAGAGGGCCCAGAGCGACCCAGGGAGATGCCCACCCAGGAGGTTCTGCAGGGCGCGGCCGCCTCTCTGTGTGTGTGGCCGGTCCTGCTCCTTCCTTTTTTCCTCTCTCTCTTTTTCCTGAAGCAAAGCCACGTGATGCTGTCAGTCCGCTGTGGGCCGTGAGATTTCCAGAAAGGGACAAGTGCCTGGAGCGGTCCCTGCCCCCCAGGGCGCAGGCCCGGGTGCTGCCTGCTGCGCCGGCCTCGGCCACCCTGGCCCTCACTCCGTGGGCTGGCCCAGACCCCCGTCCGGCTTCTGCTCCAGGAGCGCCCGGCCCCCGCGCAGGGGCTGTCCTCAGACCCCGACTCTCCGCAGGCCCTGCTCCCCTGCGGCTGCCGGGCCGCGGGCCGCTGTGCCGAGCGGGGCTGGGCTCGCACCAGGCGCTCCGAGCCGTGGGGCCCGCTCCTCCCTGGAGCCGGCGCTCTCCCCCGCCGTGCTTCTGTGGTTTCCTCCCCCAGGCCGTCTGCTCTGACCGCTGAGGTGGCTGCCCTTTGAAAACAGTGTTGACTTGGGAGCGGGCCAGGGAGGCAGGGCCCTCGGGAACCAGGCCTGGGGGCAGCGCCGAGCGGGGGCTGGAGTCTGAGCCGCGGCAGACCCGGCGGCTCGGCCTCCAGACCCTGTCCTCAGGCGCCCTGCGGTGCCGTCCCGGAGTCTGGCCCACTCCCCACCCCTGGGACCCCCTCGGTGACGGCTCATCTCCAGGGAACAGGGAGGCGGTGATAGCAGCGCCGTCAGGCCCCGGTCCATGGGGTCCAGTTTGCATCACTGTTCTCCACGTGGAGGGCGACGTGTGGCCGAGTCCTCGAGCTCGGGGACGGCGCTGCAGGGGCCAGGCGCGCGGGCGGGCAAGCAGGCCTCAGGCAAAGCAGGCACCTGCCGGGTCGGCTTGAGTGTTGGAACCACAGAACAGCCTCTCAGGGACACCCGGGTCTGGTTTGAGATTTTTTTCTTGCATGTTAAGAACGAGGTGGTGTGACTTTTGTTTGGATTTGCTCAGGTGAACACTGATGGCAGGCACAGGGGCTGACGCGCAAGCTGGTGGTTGGCCGACCCGGAGAGGGCCAGAGGCTCTCTGTGCCGCCCTCGGGCCTCAGCTGCTGCTCGGGCTGGGCCTCAGCGGTGGGGAATTTTCTGCCCTGACGTTGTAAATGCCATCGCAGTTCTGCTGAGCAGTCTCTCCGGGGGCATCCAGCTATTCAGGGTGTTCACATTTAGGTGGGAACGTTGAGGCCTGTGTAGTTGTTTTCCAGAATATCACCAAGTCGTTACAATTTCTGGCCAAAAGTAGAAAACTTTTTTTTGACTCATTGCCAAGATACATGATGAAAATAAACTGGTGACTAAGAAACTCAAGCTCTTAGGAAACCTGCGTGTGCAGGGACACGGTCCAAAAAGGGGGAAGCGGAGGACCCGCACCTAGGGTTAGGGTGCAGGCCGCCCAACGGAGACCGTGCAGGAGCCCCGGTTCCGTCCCCGGACTCGGACCAGGAGCGGAAGCCGTGTTCTGACGTCAGGGGACGATGCGCTGTTCCACCCATGCCGACGGCAGCAGCGGGGCTGGCCCGGCCCGAGCTGTGGTCCTCGTCACGGGCGGACACGGCTTGCACACATGCGTCGGCCCCGACGCTGGAACCTCACGGACAAACCGGGGTCGCAGCTGGGCCGCGCTCGGTCCCCGGCGCCTGCTGCGTCCTCGGAGGGGCGCTCCTGTTCCCGGGCGGGCGGCCGAGCCCCTTGGGTCCCATCGGGTGTGAGGACCCCTCGCCGGGCACACCGTCGTCTCTGTCTGTGTCGGAGGGGCGGGTGGTGGCTGGGAGGTCGCGGTCCCCTCTGCCCGGTGGGACCACCCTGTGGAGGGCTGCGTGCCCCCGCTGAGGGGCTGTCCCGGGCCCCAGAAACAGGGCGGATGCTCCCCAAGTGCCAGCGGGTGTCTGTCACTAGTGTAAGTACCGGTCCGCGTTTCAGTGCCGTCCTCAAGGCTGGAAAAGTAAGTGACGAGTTTCAAGTCCTGTTTCGGGAGAAGCTTTTGCCGACAAGGGTGGCCTGGCATCGGGACCACTCTCCGGGCACCCGGGCGGCATATGCCGAGCTGGGCCGGCAGGCACCCCAGAGCCCTCGGGCAGGTCGCAGGCTTTCTCCGCGGGCGTGTCACTGTGATGAGGAGGAGGGTGGGTGCCTGCAGCAGCCCCAGCCTAGCAGCGAAGGAGCTCGTCGCAGGGACCTCGGGGCCACACCGACGCGGTGCAGCCTGTCACCCTGGCCGGCCTCTGCAAGGTGACGCCTCCTCGGGCCCCTTTTCTATAAATTGGGGCCCAGCGGAAACCAGGGTGTTTGTTCAGCTGTAGCGGCGTAACCTTTTGTTATGTGAGGATCTTCAAGTCCAGTCCTTCCGCTGCCCCGATGCGCGGACGCGCGGCCTGGAGGCCACCTTGACCGTCCAGACGAAGGAGCTGACGCGCGACCTGCGCTTGGGATCCTTACGCGCACGTCTGGCGAGTTAGCGATGAGGCAGCGGCCCATCTCCCGCGCCCTGGCTCCGGACTCAGGGCCCCGTCACACGTGCCAGACGGCGACAAGGCACCGCGGCCTCACTCGCGGGAACAAAGTGCTTGTGTGACAGTTTCTGGCGGCCACGCAGGAGCTGAACTGACCCGCTCCTTGTCTTCCCCTTCCAGGTTCCGTCACTGAAAAGCTGCCCCCGCGGGAAGGCACAGGCAGAACAGGTAACCACTTGGGCGGGGTTTCCATGGTGACCTGTCACCGCCTATCTGACCTGTGCCCCGAATACCTTGCGAGTTAAAGCTAGACGCGCCCTAGCGGCAGAGCAGCTCGCGGCGCGTTTCTTCTCCCACGGCCGTGTGCTCCACAGGGCGGGGGCCAGGCGCCACCTGTTGGGACCCCCTGTAGGCGCTGTTAGGTCCCTGCGCCCCCCGACCCCCCGTGCGTGCCTGTGGAGGGGCCTGGAGAGGCGCGTTTCAGCTGCGGCCCCTGCGGCTGTAAAGCAGAGCGGTCGTTGAGGGCCACTGGCCGAGACTCGAGCCCAGTCCCGAGCCCAGTCCCCGGGGGCGAGTGGCGGGGTGACTGCGGGCCCCGCCCAGGGCTGCCTGCCTCCCGGACGGGTCAGGTCCCAGCAGGGCCCGCCGTCGCCCCTCCCCGTGGAGGCCCCGCCCCCTCGCCCCGCCCCGCCCCGCCCCGCCCCCTGCAGGCCACGCTCTTGCCCCACCCTGTAGAGTCAGGAGTCATTTTGAAGATGAAGTAAAAAACGTTTTGGTACCAAAACCTTGGGCGCTAATTTTCCTGATACAGGTCATAGTGTGTAAACTGGTGATTTAAAAAAAAAATCAAGCCAAGTAGGCCCGAGCTTCCTTCCACCCAACTCCCGTCAGCGCGTATCGTGACTCCGCGGGGCAGGCCCCTGCCCCGGCCGGGCGCGCGGGCTCTTTATGTGGGTGGACCCGTGGGCCGTGGCCGACCCCGCTGGTGTGTGCGCCCAGTGCCGAGAGAGCGGCCGTGGGTGGGCGGGGCCACAAAGGAGGCTCGTGCGAGTGGGGTGGGGGGAAGCCGAGGCGGGTTTCACGTGGAGCCAGAGACCCTCGCAGCTGGGGAGCGGCCCGTTTCTGGGTGACCTGCGGCGACTGGCACCTCCGGGCCCGGCTTGGGGGCGAGTTTGCGTTTGGAAAGGAAGACGAAGGGAATGGAATTCTCGATTGGATGGCTTGGGTTGAGTCTGTAAGATCGGGGGGTGGGCGCAGCCCCATGTTTTTAAAGTAGAGGAAGTGACACCATTCAATCAGAAAAGCTAACCCCTCGCTGAACGGGGAGGCGAGGGACGGAAGCGCCGTTTCGGAGGGGGCGCCCCCTCGCTCCTGCCGCGGCCTCTCGTCTCCGCTGGGGCGGGTCCCGGGGAGAGGCCTGTGGGCGCGGGGGGGCGTACGGAGGGGACGCCTTCCTTCTCCTGGAGCCCCCGGTCTCCAGGCTCAGAGAAGCAGCACCGGGGGTTAAGCGGCAGGGCGCGCTGTGCACAGAGCGGAGGCTCGGCCCACTCCACGGGAAAAACCAGGAGCGGCACAGCCGCCCACGCCGGCGGCGCCCTCTCCTCGTGCGCAGCTCCCCGGGGGGCGCGGGGCCTCGCGTTGGGCCAGAGGATTTGAGGGGCCAGGGCACGAGGTGGCCCGAGGAGAGTCACGCTGGGGGAGGGGGCGGCCCCCGGCGGGCGGGGGCGGGGGCGGGGGCGGGGGCGGGGCCCTGCTGCTGGAGGCGGGGAGGGGCGTGGCCGGCCTGGAGCGCGTTGCTGGCCGCCCGTCCCCGGTGCAGGGCCCTCGCTGGCCACGGCCGCTTGGCGGGCTTGCCGACGGGCCCCGTGATTCTGGGGAGAGGCCGAGGGCCCCAAAGCGGCGGAGGCCTCAGCAGAAACGCGCGGCCCTGGCGACGCGTCCCATCGTTCTCATCCCAACAAGACCTGGGAACAGGCGAAAGCGTGTTCTCAGCCTGTCCTTTTAAGACTTTCAGATGTTTTAAGTACATTCCCCATTTCATTTTAGTCTCTTGGGAAACTAAGGAACATTTCACAGCAAAATACTCAGTTTATCATTGTTATGCTTGGATATTTCAAATAAATGACGTTACGTTTTGTCAGTATTTTAATACAGAGCAAACTGTCTTCAAGAGCTTGTACAGTGCCCAGGCTCTTTGAAGGCCCCCTTTGGGTCTCCCTCAGAGGGAGCCCACAGGCACCCTTCTGCCCCTCGGAGAGCGGGGAGGGTCGTGGGTCAGAGCTCATGGAGCAGCCGCCTGACGGCCGCCACCTCTCCCGCCCTCTGCGGTGTTTCGGTCCCGGCACTGTCACACGCGCGGCGACCCGCAGGAGGAGTGCGCGTGCAGCGGCCCGGGCTGCCCCCCGGGGCCTGCGTGCCGGGAGCCGGACCCAGACGCTCGGCCGCCACGGCGCCTGCTGTGGCTCGGGGCTCCCCTGAGCCTGGACCTTAGACTTGACCGGGGGACCCAGGGGGGTGTTTCCACTGACCCAATCGAGGTTATTCGTGAGGGATGTGTGTCATCCGTGAAGCGACCCAGAGCTCTTTCGGAATCCACAGTCCCTCTTGCTGCTCTGGTCCCTGTCATCCTTGTCCCGCCCCGGCCCCCCCGCCGCCGACCTGAGCCCCTCGCGGGGGTCCTTCTGCGGCAGACGTGGACAGAGGGGCCTCCGCTGTGCAGACGGGCCCAGGGCCGGCGTTCAGCCAGGCCCCTCATCCCTGCCCTGCTGCCGGGGAGATGGCGCAGCCGGGGCGCCGGCCCCCTCCCTGGCCCCGCGGCCCCGCGGCCCCGCCTGCCGCCCTCGCACCGTGCAGCGGCCTGCGCCGGGCCCCCGCTCGCCCCTGCCCCCCGCCCCCCTCCCCCTCCGCGGCCCTGGCGGGTCGGTTCTCGCTCTGGCGTCCCGCGTGTCCTGGGGGGTGGTGTGTGCGGATCTGCGGGCTGTTGGTGCCCCCGCAGCCTCACCCGCATGCACACTTACTTAACTTACTCTGTGATTGTAGTCTCCTTGCAAATGTTTTCCGTTCTGAATTCAGATGATGCCTCGGCCCCTGCGCTGGACACTCAGCCCCAAGGAGATGAGGAAGGTGAGCCCTGGGCCAGTCTGGAGCGGGGTGGGGCGGGGTGGGGCGGGTCCCCCACACGGCCATGCGGCCCGCTCCAGCCCCGTGAGCGCCTGCGGGCCTTCCGTGGCCTTGGCGTGCCGCCCCGTGTGTTTCCATAGCAGAACATAAGCGTGGCTTTTCAAATCTAAACCTGTGGATGGAAATTCCATAGTTTGGATGATGTAAAGCAGCTCTTTCTGAAGAGAGCGAGGCGTATGCCATCCTTCTGTCCACATGTCACGCCTCTCACTCGCGTGCGCTGCCACGGGCGGCCGAGACACGCTTTGCCACGTCCCGAGGGGTGTCCCCTGGGCTCGCTGCTTTGGCACTCACTTCAGGCTGGACTTGCTCTTCTCAGCCTTTTGCATCTTGTCTCAGGTGTTGGCGAATGTTTCACAGATTCTCAGGTCACAGGGTCTGAAGATAGGAGGAACGCACAGCACAAATAAATCTGAGGTTGACAGGTTGAAGTGCCCTGTCTTTGCCAATAATAATAATAATAATAATAACAACAGCAGCAGCTAACGCTGGCGTGGCCCCCCAGGCCGCCTGCCGCTTGGCGAAGGCGGGGAGGGACTGGCTGGCTGCTTCCCCGGGGCCCAGCCGGCTGTGCGCGTGTGGCTGCGCTTGCTGAGCAGCGTCGCCGAAGGGCCAGGTTCCTGACGCGGGTCACGCGACCCCTCTGTCTGGCCCTTGGCCTCTGCCGGGTCTCTCCACCAAGTGGACGCCCTGCGTCCGTGTAAACCCCTGTCCCAGCCACACAAGGGTGTTTCCAGACCTTCGGGCTCTTTGCGAAAACCCTCCTCTGTCTCGCAGGGTCTGGTGGATTCATGTGACTTCTATTTACACTCTTGGATGAAGGAAGAAGAAGGAAAAAATGTCTTAAAATTTTAAAAATGTATATTATTATTTCTTATAAACACAATTATTTTAACTTTCTTTAAATGAACAATATAATGCTGTTTTTTCCTTGGCTTTTAGGCTGCCTCCTGAAGTCTTTGAGGGACTTTGTGTTTTCGTGCTGAATTAAAAATTGTCCTCCTCTTCTGCTTTGTTAGATATCGCCTCACGCTACCCCACGCTTTGGACCGAGCAAGTGAAAAGCCGGCAGAACAAAACCAACAAGAACGCAGGTAAAGGCCTGTCCTCCTCATTCTGTCCCCAAGCTCGGGGCGGGGGGAGGGGGTTGGGGCCCTCACCACCAGCGAGTCTTGCTCGGAGCTCTCAGGGCTTGATCACCAAACTATAGTTCAGATTTGGGGGGTTTTACTACGCTTTCTACCATCTTCAAAAGGTTTCCCTGTGTGTGCCAAGCAAATGATAGTTTTAGATAAAAATGGAAATATCAATATTTGACAGTAAGTCTTTGTTTTTGACGTAACTCCAGCGACGTCCAAACACTTGATTAGTTTAGTTCAGAATCCCGGGAACTGTGTGCTGGCTTTGCCATAGATCGGCGCCTGGGGACTTTCCCTTTGAGGAGGAGGACTGTGGGGCACCGCGCAGGCAGGCGACGGCTGCAGCCGCCCCGGGGCACCGGGTCCCTGACATGGGGCTCTGTCTGTGGCCCCCTCCCCCCGGCGGCGCTGGAGGCCCTGCCCGCCACCCGGGTCTTCTGTGTTGGCCCCGGGGGAGCTGCAGAGGCTCACAGAAGCGGCCTGCGCAGTGGAGACTTGTGCCCGGTGCCTGCTTCCCCCCAGTGCGTTTTTAACACCCATCAACGCAAGGCGTTCGCAAGTCTGGTCCGCGTTGGGGCGGAAAGAGCCTCCCGGCCCACGTGGTCCATGGGCTGCCCTGTCGCGTGCCCCGAGAGGACGGCCCAGGCAGTGCCCGAGTGGCCGTCTCAGCGGCTGCCTCACAGCCCAGGCTGCGGCCGCACGGCGCGGGTCTCTGCTCGTTTACCACCGCAGGCAGCACGGCGAACCCCCCGGGAAGTGGCAGCTCTGGCCGGCAGACAGGCCCCTGGCTTCCCCCCGCGGGTTCCCGCCTGGTGACGCTCCCTCTCGCCGCTGCTGCTGCTGCTGTCGCCAGGTCCGCCCTGCCCGGTCCGTCCTGTCCCTGCCCAGGGCAGCGTGGGCCTGTGTCCTCTCGGCCGCCACCGCTCCCGTGGGGCCGAGCCAACGGAGGGGAGGCCCCCGGGCCTGTGTGTGCGACGGGCGGGGGAGCCTGAACCCTGCTGCGGGGACGCACGGCCCCCCTCAGGGACTGCTGCCGTGGGAGGGTGTTCCCGTCGCCTGACGCCCGGACCCGCGCGTTTCTCTCGCGGACGTCGGTAACTGAGTTCACGTGGTTCAGCCCTGTCACCATGCGTGCCAAAGCTGCCCTGTGCGGTCTGCGCGTGCGTCACGGAGATCGGCGCTTGGGAAATGAATGAGAACGCCGTGCATTTCAGGTTGGCGGCTGGACCTTGAAAACTTCTCCTGGGAGAACCCATGTGGCAGGGCCCAGACTTGGTCTGGGAAACAACTGTAACATCTGGTATATTCGGTCTGAAAATGCGCACTCTAAACATTTTTCTAAATGTCAGGGATTTTAAACACATATTTATTTTTAGGGCCAGGGCCAGGGAGGGAGAAAGACCGGGAGACACACATCAAGCGGTTGCTTCTCCCCCACGTGCCCTCTCGGGAGCGGACCCTGCCGCCCGGGCACCGGCCCCGACCGGGCACCACACCCGCAGCCTCGGCTCTGCACGACGATGCCCAGCCCGCTGGGCCCTGTGCATCAGGGCGCCATGCGTGTCTTTGAAAAGGCAGCTTTAATTGTCGGCAGGAAGCTATTTTGGGCTTGGATGGCGAGGCCTCTGTACTCTCATGACACATGGGCACTTTCGTGTTTCGGTGTCTGTGCCGCTACCGTGTCCTCAGGCCCGAGTGGCCTGTCGGTGGCGGCTCCCCACGCGGTGGCGCAGGCTGCAGGCACTTAGTGGGACTGAAAGCGGGTCTCGGGATTCCGGTTCGCGCAGGTTGCCCTGCCCTGTGGTTTCACCACATCGGCCCAGAGGAGGGAGCGCGGGAGACGGCGGGGAGCCGCCGCGCAGGCCCGGGGCAGAGGTCGCCCAGCTGTGCGCGCGGGCCTGGGTAGCCACCCAGAGGTAGCGTGACGCCTGGGGTCCAGCCTCGTTGCTGTTTTAGGACATAAAAGCAGCACTTAAGTTATGAAGGTAACAGCGGAGTGGCCAACAGCCGTGGGGTTTCCATAGCGACCACCACAGTCATCGAGATGTCCGATGTCGGGAGAGGTTCATTTGTATTTAACTTTCAAAAGATACTTTTACTAATAATTTTCTTTGACAGAGTGGACACATTTTTAAAAACAAAACATAAATAATTTGGCTTGTTTATTCTTCTGTGGTTTTAAAAATTTGTACCTCATTCATCTGTCAGTACGTTGTCCGCCGGGGTCCATGATGCCCCTTTGGTAACACGGTGCAGGCCCGGCTCGCGGCCGACCTCCCCGCCGCGGTGCAGCCGAGGGCCGGAGGCTGCTCTCCGCCTGGAGCTGGTTGGACCCTCAGGCTGAAACCGTGGGCGTGGGGGCCAGACTGTCCTCTCGCGTGTCCCTGGGTGGAAGAGGCCATGTGGGGACGCGCTGCTTTTCTCTGCTGCTGCTTTGTATCTGTTAAAAGTGCCATATTTCTCCATGAATTCACGCTAGAATATATACTGTTGCGTATTTTACCAAGTACACCGGCTACCGTTGCCGTGCATGGTGACTCACAGTGTGGACGCGGTCCAGTATGTTTGGGGCACTTGGTGACAGGAGGTGTTTAGAAGGGACTGTTTTTACAAAGGAAAGCAAAGTGCTCCTGTGAAATCTGGACGTAGTGGGCACTTAAAGAATGCGTGTTTGTTCATTGAATTATTAATGAGTTTTACTGTTCATAGAAACAAAAGACCCAAAGAAACAAAAACCCAAACAGATGAAGAGCTAGAAAAGAAAGTTAATTTAAGTGCTGCTACAGTTTGGCTGCTGGGTCTTATTGATCACAGTTCATGTACATAGGAATGAAATTGGCTCTCGTTGGTCCATGGAGGGAGCAGCGTTGCTTTCGCTGTGTGAATCGGTTTGCGTTGGGCGGATGAGTGAAACCCGACGCTGCCCTTTACGTAAGAACGTACTACTCAGGTTTTCCTGTCTATACACACATTTCTTTACTTTCCTCAATCCTCACATTCACTTTTATTACTCTATTCATAGAAGACGTAAAAATTAACTACAGCGTTTCACCAGATAAGAGGTTTTACGACGTACTGTCTTGTGAGTATATGAGATTCCTTTGTACGTTACACACCTCCTGGATGTCTGATTTCCTTTAAAACTGGTCTCGAATATTAAAAAGGGAGCGTATTTTTTTGTTAGTTCAACAAGGCTGGTTGAACACCTGCACGGAACAACCAGCGCGTTCATGACCTACAAATACCCGTGCACTCAGCGTCATAAAAGGAGCCCTTTATGGACTGAAAGCGCGAGGTTGTGACTCTGTGAAGGGGTCGGAGGGGACGTCACCTGGGGGGGCAGCCGGGCCGGCCCCTCGCGCGGCCGCGCGGCCTGGGGGCCGGGGAGCTCTGCGAGGGTGCCGAGTGTCGTTCACGCGAGGCTGGCCTTGCGAAGGTTCGGTGGAAGACTCTTCGGTGGGATGCGCTGACTGAGAAGTAATCGTGACACAACGTATCCCTTAAACATTTATGTCTCTGATTTTTTTTAGGCTTCATTATGTTTTATTTTGAAAAAGGGGAAACATCATTATCCTGCTATTTTCAGGCGCCTTAATCTTTTGCAAAAGCTAAGGACCAGATTGCTGCCATCGCATTATTATTTTTTTCCCAAGTATGGAGATATCTTACATTCATGCCAAAAAGCAGTCTGTTTCTGTCAATTAGTGAGTGTGTTTGGGCTCCAACGGCGGGTCTCTTATTGCACCCAGCACTGCATGGGGCGCAAGGGGTGACGGGGAGTGGCAGGCAGGTGCCTGAACGGAGGCCTCTTGGGTGCACGTGGCCCCAGTGAGAGCCCAGAGCGGGGATCAGGGAAGAGAGGGCAACTCGGGTGGGGTTAGAGGAGACTTTAGCATCTGCAAGGTGACTTGGCGCAGACTCAGCGTTTTACCGGCGAAGGGAAAGAAAAACCCAAATTCCAAAGCTCGGAGAAGCCGAGGACGCGTTGATGGCCACAGCGCGGGGGCAGGAGGCTCAGCACCGTCTCTCTGGCTTCTCTGTGTAACTGGGGGCGCTTCCCGGAGAAGCCAGGCTTTTAGAAATGCCGGCGCCGCGGGCCGGATTCCATGGGACTGCAGACCTGAAGGCTGACGCCGCAAGACCATGTCCCTGAGCCCATTTAACTTAACCATGGAGGGAATGGTGGCAGGAGAGGCTGTGCGGCTCAGGGCGGCACTGGCGTAGGTGCGTTTTCTGGAATGTTCTGCTCATTAAGGAGCAGCCAGGTTGCAGAGCCGTGCGCAGCTTCGGTCGCATGGCCCCAGCGCAGCCTCTCCCGGTGGCCTCCGGGGAAGGACCGCCCCGCAGACGCGCTGGATCGCGGCCTGTGCTGCTTCGCCCCGGCGCTTACCTCGGGTCCGCGTCAGTGACAGAGCGAGTCTGCCTCCTACCCCTGCGCGTGGCTGGGCCGCAGGCCCCAGGGCCCCCGCGGGCCCCCGCCCGGGCTCCTGCTGTGCGTGAGTGGGAGCAAAGAGAGGCCTGGTTCCGTCAGCCCTGAGAACCCCCCTCCCGGGTAAAAGCGGCCCCCCAGGCGCGCAGGCGGCCGGCTCCCCCGCGCGGCGCCCCGCGGGCCCCCAGCCCAACGCTGCTCTGCTCCCGCCAGAGCTGCTGGGGGCTCCTCTTTTACTGCCCACGCGGGAATCGCGCGAGAGCTCGCTCTCCGAGTCGCGGTGGTTTGCGCTCCCACGGGAGGGGTTGTACGCCTTGTGTTTTCTTTGTTTGTATCTAACTTTTAAAATACCAGTTCCCCCATTTTTTGAATTTCATTTTTTTAAACGTAAGACTGCAAGCACATCGGGACACCAACTAGACTCAGGTTGTCATTTGAAGAGATTAAAATATTTAAAAATAACTCAAACAGCTCCTTCTAAATGTGGGCTATAAACTGTATTATGTAAAAATCTACCTAAAGATGT